GCTTAAATAAAGATCAGATGCTCCGTGACCTGTGACCAGGCTCTATTAAAAAATTGAGACTTATTTTGTTAACTGTATATTTGCCCCAATACTTAGCCAAGGGGAATGTTAACTGCTAGAAATTCTCTTTAAAATCATAAAGCTTTACCATACATGGACACAACTAATAAAAATAAATGAAAAACAAAATGATCATAAAACTTTAATTCTGGCTTTCTAGAAAAAGAGCAGTTCCCAAGCCAGGTAGCAGTAATCCACTGAAGGATGGATCTTTTGTGAGCCAGGGGAACAGCAAAGTGATCAAACTGCAAAAACAGGCAGCTTGACCACAAGAACCTGACCAAGTTATGACCCTAGTGACTGGCCCTCCTCAATGTCTTGGGTTTCCCCAGTATTCCCCACGGGAAGAAGAAAATGCTGAGAAACGGGAAAGGAAGAGAAAGGAAGCACAGGCTGGTATGAAGGCTCTAATCTCTAAGGTTCAACAATGCAAACTCGTTAAGAGGTTGCCTGATGCCACCCACTGAGGCAGGGATGCACTATGGGGCTTGATGTAAAAGGCTCTTCCAGGGAAGGGGCTCAAAAGACAGTAAAACAAGTAACCCTTGCCTACAATTTGTGTGTCTGTAGTAACCCGCAAATCCATCCAATCCACGCTTTGCTACTCAGGCCAGTTCAACATCAAGGGACACACACAGAGAAGACTGGCTGGCAGTTAGATTTCACCCAAATGCCCCCATGGTGAGGCTGTATCTTCTTACACAAGAAGCTATTTGTTATTTTCACAGGATGGGTTGAAGCCTTCCCCACTCTACCTGAAAAGGCTACTGAAGTCTAAGTCCTTTTTAAAAGAAACAGTTCCTTGGTTTGAACTTCCCCTTCAGGGCAATAGCAGGCCCCCTTTTATAGCCAAAATCACACAGGGGCTCACAAGGGATTGATTACAAGCTATGTAATACTTGGCCTCCATACTTGAAGACCTCCAGTCTTCAGGGAAGGTGGAGAAAATGAACCATACTTCAGCAAAGCTCTGCCAAGAGACTCATGACACTTGTTTCCTCTTGTAGTCCTGGGGGTCCATGTAGCCCCCAGGAGTGGTCTGAGGCTTAGCTCAGAAATGACCAGTGGGAGGTCTTATCTTACTACTGACATTGTACTAGATGAGGAAGTGAGCTGGACAGTGTGGTATATTACTAATCTAGGGCAAGTTCACAAGGCAATCTATGACTATGCCCACAAGGCACTGCCAGCTCCCACTACAAACACATGGGAAGGGGCAGTTCCTTAACAAATAAACCCTGGGAACCAGGTTCTTCTTAAAACTTGGAAAGAGAGGTTCCCCCAAAGACCAACTATTATCAAAATGGAAAGGCCCTTGTGAGGTAATTTTAGCCATCCCGACTGCTGTCAGACTGCAAGGGAAATTTGGTTGGGTACATTTGTCTAGACTAAAACTATTACCTCCAAAAACCCCATAAGTCACTAGAGAAGAGCAATCCATCTGTGAGCCAGTGGCAAACCTGAGATGCCTATTGCAAGCATAGGCATGACCCACAGATAAGCAAAACAATGTGGTGAGTTGGTCTCCTATTTGCCATTTTTGCTCTTGTGCTGTTGATTGCATCCTACTGGTTTGCTCGACCACCCTAGCCAGAGAAGTAACCCCCTTGTCCATGCTGGGTTTAATTTAAGGGGAAATTCTCCACCCCAAAAATGTTCTGCTATTGACTGTGTGCGCCTTATTAGTCCCTGTAGCCAGGGAACAATAGCAAGAACACTCACTTAGCAACATTTCCAAACTTTCCAAAAATCATGTCCAAAAGGGAACATTTAAAATAATGCTGGATATGCCATCAACACCCTCCCATGCACCCCCCTCCTCCCGGCTGGCTACTGGCCCTCCTCTTGCATTTCCCCTGATCCTGCCGGTTCCAACACTGATTAACAAACTAAATTAGGGGCAACTGCCACCTCTTTCCTCTCTGCTAGTCATGCTTGCACTTTCCAGGGGGCTATTACAATGCTTTAATCTGAATCCCCTATACAACGACCCAAGGCACCGCACATGCTAGGTTAAACTGCACAAATGGTACTTGTTTCGTATGCCTGCCCCCTCCGCCCCCCTGCAATTGGGAACAGAATTACACCAGATATTCTGCCTCTCATGTAGGGAGAAACTGTACTTACAACCTCCCCCCACCAGTGTCCTGTTTCAGACTATGGCTCCGTCTTCCTAAACAACATGGAAGGGGATTTTGAACTGTTTAAAGAAACATCTCATCCACCTCGTCAACCCAATTCAACCCACCTGTGGGACACCGAGCAAATGACGAGCTGGCCTACAGTTGTCAACTCTGACAAAACCAACCAGATCACACTTGAGCATTTCATGAAGACCTTTATAACATGATATAATCTAAATCACCAACATATCGATTTGTGGTCTCCTAGTTGCATAGGTACTAGCAACAGCTATGTCCTTCAAGGACTATCAGCTCTGAGCAACCATGACACATTCAGGTCTGCCCCCCTGAAGTGTTTCTTTTCCTCTGCAGACCCCAAAACATCATGTTATGGAGCTATGGCCAGGACCTGCCCTTTTCCCAAGGCCTTCAATCCTATGGCCTGTAAATGCACTGATGATGTCCACTTTGTGTCAGACTGTCCTGTATGGTCTACAGGGATAAGAGGGATTTTATCTGTAACAGGACCAGGCTGGCTCACCCTTGAACCTAGAGAGCAAGAGGCATGATCTTAGCATAGGGCAGGGCTAGCAATAGGACTGGTGGCTCTATGTGGAAACTTAACTTATCACGAAGTAACACTGAGAAATTTCACCCGGACAGTGTGCTTATGTGGTGAAACTGATAGAACAAGCCTTAAAGGGACATAAGACTGCTCTTGTTTCTTTGGCTAATATAGCTGTTCATAATCGCCTGGCTCTTTGCTACTTTCTGGCAGTACAAGGCAGAGTGTTTTTGGTAACTAATACTTCCCGCTGTGCCTGGATCAATGCAACAGGACAGGTGGATGTTAATATTAAAGAAATACTCACCCATGCAGAAAGGCTTCACAACTTTGGCAAGAGCAACACAATCTCACTGTCTGGTCAACACTTACAGGAGCCCTACTCCCAAAGTTAACTTGGTTCCTTCCATTTCTAGGCCCCTTAGTAGCTATTATTGCTCTTTTTGGCCTTTGTCTGGTTAACCTTTTGGTTAACTTTGTATCTTCTAGGCTCCAGCAGTTTCAAGTAAGGCTCATTATGGCTCAAGGGTTTCAATCCATTCTATGCCTCTAGTGTAAGCTAGGGTTTGAGGCCCCTGTCCAGCAGGAAGATGTTTCAGAAGAGGAAAACTTCAGCCCCTTAACCCTTAAAAATAAGGGGTGCAAAAGCTCACAGCAGGGGAATGAGGCAGACTGGGGACTTGGGACCCGTTGCTACAGTGTTTGCATGTGGACAAATGTCTCCTTGAGCAACAGAATATAAAGAAACTAAAGGACTAAAAGTAACTGCCTGCAGGTTTTGAGCAAGCTCCAGAGAGTTGGTGATGGACCAGGAAGCCTGGCATGCTGCAGTCCATGGGGTCACAGAGATGGACAGGACTCAGGGACTGAACTTAAATGAAGTACAACCTGGGCAAATTATAAACAACAAGGTACAAAAACCCCCAAAAACCCAACTGCCACTTCAGCCATGTCCTGAGCAATAAGAGGGTATTACTCATGATCCCTGCACACAGCACCCTCAAGAGTGTGGGGATGGGTGGGCAGGCCTCCTAAGCCACCTTTCCAGATAGACCCACAGATCTGCCCCGACCATCATCCAAGGGACCAACCTGTGCACCCCTTCCAACCCAGGGAGCCAGGAAGGGAATGTGTTACTCATTTTTCACTCTTTCCCGAAGCACAACTCCCAAGAAAGTCCTGCCTGAATTTCTTGTCATTTCTTTAAGTTTCTAGGTCAATTCCTCGTGAATTTCTATGAAGTTCTGGAATGTCAGACTATAAACTACAGGATTCCGCATTTATCTGTGTATGAAGAGTGAGATAAAGCCCACTATTTTGATCTAGCTGATGCTGTCAATAATAACAAAAGGTAAAAACAGGTGTGAAGTTCTCTTTGATATTTTGAGCCTTATCGCCTAAAATGATCATGGTTGAAAATGCATACCCAAAGCATCAAATATAGTCTGTGTAGAAAACAGCTCTAGAAATGTTCCTTCTCGTAAAACCTACGAATTTTTTTTTTTTTAAGACATCATTATACACTCCAGGCACTTTATGTTACTGGCTTCAGGGAGAAGACGTTCAGAACTGTCAACAAATTCATTCGGCCTCCCGGGGAGAGCGCGAACGTGATGTCATCGCGACGTGGGGCGCGAGCGGGCCTTGTGGAGGAAGTCCTGCGTCGTTACCACCGAGACGCACGGGGATGGACGACTGCCGCCGCCGCCGGCTGCTCTTCCGTGTCGTGTCCTTGCGCGCCCCCGCGTGGCAGTCAGCGTGAAGGCCAGCCTCTGGCTTTTGCGGCTCCGCGGCGAGTCGCCCTGCGGCTCCGGTCGCCCTGGATCCGCGCTGTGCCCAGCTCCCTGCCCGACCCAGCGCCAGACAAGGGGCGACATCTCGAGGTAAAATCTAGGAGGTGCAGGAGGCTAACTCCAAGAGGCCCTGTCGTCCCGGAGAAGCCTCTCAGCGGCGCAGAAGAGCGGGTGCGATGATGGAGGAGCAGGAATGCGATTTAGGGAAGTCGTGTGCCCGCTCTGAGGCAGCGGCGGCTGCCCAACCCGCGGGGTCCCCAGGGGAGACCCCCGCGGTCGCCGCAGAGTCCCCGGAGCTCGCGAACTACAGTAGCAAGTGCGTGTTCTGCCGGATCGCGGCGCACCAGGAACCCGGCACCGAACTCCTACACTGTGAGGTGGGCTGCGACGCGCGCCCGGGCGTGGGTGGGATCCGGAGCGCTCCGGGGGGCTCCGCTTGCGGGGGGCCTCCGCTTAGAGGGGCCTCGCCGGCGTGGATCGGGTGGGGACGGTCCTGCGTAAATGGAGCTGGGGGAGGCTGGGTGTCTTAGTGATACAGACAGGCTTGTTTCTCTAGGCGCCCGGAGTGCCGCCAGCCTCGTTTACTGTTCTAAGGGGAGAAAGGGCAGAGGGAAAACCTCTCTCCGCAGCCGAGGTGGTCGGTAGACAACAGTGACCTCTGATTTTATTAAAGAAACCTCCCCCTGCCCCGCCCCCACCCCACTTTCTAGACACTGCCTTTACATTCTGCAAATACTGATACTGAAAACAAACTAGTAGAAAATAGATAATGGTGATTGTGAAAAGCCCATTTGTTAGATCGACTGAAAATAGGTTGGCAGAACTGGTCCGTGGTCACGCTGTTAGTTAATAGATTCCGATTTCCACTAAAGGGTCCAGTTCCTTAGAAGTGTTATTATCAGTTGGGATATGTGGAAATTTTCAGAGCATTTGGACTTTGCTCAGATATTTTAAAACAGATATCGGGTAGGCACTTTCGTCTACCAGCTTGACTCGCCTTTAGAGAAACAGTCATTTGAAAGAGTCAGCTCCAAAGATTCTGGGCGGTGTTTTTGTTTTGTAGTAATGATTCATCATTTATTAAAAGTAAATTGAATTCCTTCTCAGCACTGTTGGAGATTCAGTGGTGAACAAGGTAAATAAAGGCTAGTAGTCCCTGTTTACATTTTATAATCTAAAGGGTGGAGTCAGTACCGACAGAAGAGGCAGCTGATAGTAGCCGTGCTACGTGAGATGATTTTACCACCTGCAGTATTTTGCAAGGCCCGTGGGAGGGGCACCTGACCAGATCTGGAGGGTTAGGGAAGACCTTCCAGAGGAAGTGAGACGTGAAAAAATAAGTATGGTCAGGTGAGGAGGAGGAGAGAAGAATGCCTTCGGTCGAGAGAACCTTCCGCGGTTTGGTCTCTGCCACAGACGAATAGAAATTCAATCTAACTGGAGCATGGAGTTTGAAGGGGTGAGTGGTAAAAGATGAGGGTGGAGAGGTAAGCGAGGGCCAAGTTATCAAGGCTGTTGTACTTCATATTAAGCAGTTTGGGCTTTATTTGCAGAGTGAAGGGAAGGAAACTCCACCGTTTATTGCTACTGTTCATGCTGGGTTGGAAGAAAGGGGTTGAGGAATTCCATGAAAACGTTTGATCTTTGAAAGATCATCTGGTACCCTGGGGGAGAATGATTTGGAGAGGACCAGGCTGGAGGCATGGAGATTGGTTATGAAGCTGTTGAGGTAATCCAGCCTGATGATGGCCTGACATAAGATGTAGTAATGGAGATGAAGAAAAGCAGATCAATTTAGGAATAATTAGGAGTCTGACAATGCTGAGGTCTGCATCTCTAACCCAGATGATAGGAACTGCCAGCTTATAGGTGGAAATTGAAAAGAGGGAAATTAACAAGATCACCTAGGACATATTTGTAGAGTAGGGAAGGGATCCCTGCACAGAACTCTAAAGAACCCTACCACAGTAAGAGAGGTGGAGGATGAAGACCTGGAAAGGGGACAGAGAAACAGAGGGGAAACTAGGAAAGTGAAGAGAAAGGAATGTGTTGAGAAGATAGGGATTGGTAGCAATATCCACCTTCCCTCATCCTCATATCTGGGTTGGATGACTCTCCTGTATGCATGCAGAGAGTGTATGCATGCACCCTGGTTTTGTCCCCAGGGTGATGACCACTGACCTTCAGGAGAACAACTGCAGTGCAGTGATGGGGCAGAGGGCAGATGGTTGATAAAAACCCCCAGAGTCAGTCTAAAACATTGAAGACAGCAAATACAGACAACTTCTGAAGGAAGTTTGGCAGTTTTGGGGAGAAGGGAGAGAGAGTGGTAACTACGGGAGGAGGTGGAGTTAAGAGAAAGTTTTTTGAAACAAGGAAGTCTTTGGTGTGCTTAAATGCTGATGGGCAGGTGCCAATGGACAGAGGTTTAAACTGGCTCCAAGAGGTAGAGCTTTGTCCCTGGGAAAGAGGAAACTCAGTCACCTGTCCATTACTCAGTATTTACATGAGTGCCTTCTTTGTGCCAGACACTGCTGGAGGCATTGGGATACAGAAACAAATAAAAGGAGCAAAAACCCCCATCCTTGTGGTGCTTACATTCTACTCACAGGAAATAGACAATAAGCAACATAATAAAATGTATAGTTTCTTACATGGGGAACAACAAAAGAGAAAAGGGATGCAGTTTTAAACTTTTAGTAAGGAAATGCTTCACTAAGAAGGTGGCATTTGAGGACTTCCCTGGTAGTCCAGTGGTTAAGAATCCTCCTGCCAATGCAGGGGACACAGGTTTGATCCGTGGTCGGGAACTAAGATCTCACATGCCCTGGAACAACCGGGCCCGTGCTCCACAACTACTGAGCTGGAGCCCATGTCTGCATGCCACAACGGGAGATTCCATAGAACACAGCCGGGATCCTGTGTGCCACGGCTGAGGTCTGATGCAGCCAAATCAATTTTAAAAATTAAAAAAAAAAAAGGTGTCATTTGAATAAAGCTCTGAAGAAGGAGAATGAGCAAAGTATATGGTTTATTCTTTATAAAGTACAGCAATGTCATATAGAATGTGACAGATACACAGTATATTTATGATATTAAAGTATCATGTGGTGTCACTGGAGACCAGTTTGTCAGTCACCTAAAGCTTAGATGAGCAGTATGGATACTGATCACTTCATGGCAAATAGACGGGGAAACAGTGGAAACAGTGACAGACTTCATTTTTGGGGACTCCAAAATCACTGCAGATGGTGACTGCAGCCATGAAATTAAAAGACGCTTACTCCTTGGAAGGAAAGTTATGACCAACCTAGACAGCATATTGAAAAACAGAGACATTACTTTGCCAACAAAGGTCCGTCTAGTCAAAGCTATGGTTTTTCCAGTGGTCATGTATGGATGTGAGAGTTGGACTATAAACAAAGCTGAGTGTCAAAGAATTGATGCTTTTGAACTGTGGTGTTCGAGAAGACTCTTAAGAGTCCCTTGGACTGCAAGGAGATCCAACCAATCCATCCTAAAGGAGATCAGTCCTGAATATTCATTGGGAAGACTGACGCTGAAGCTGAAACTCCAGTACTTTGGCCATCTGATGTGAGGAGCTGACTCATTTGAAAAGACCCTGATGCTGGGAAAGATTGAAGGCGGGAGGAAAAGGGGACGACAGAGGATGCAATAGTTGGATGGCATCACCAACTCGGTGGACATGAGCTGGGTAAACTCCAGGAGTTGGTGATGGACAGGGAGGCCTGGCGTGCTGCAGTCCGTGGGGTCGCAAAGAGTCGGACACAACTGAGTGGCTGAACTGAACTGAACTGATGGACACTGATAAAGAAGTTCATGATGCCTGTATTGCCTTTCATCATCATTCTTGTTGAAATCAAGATTATTAGGATGCATATGAGGCTCTTGTCCCAGTTGAATTTTAGTTCTTGGAGTGGAGAACTAATGAGCAACAGGGCATTCTGTCAGTGTTTCTGAGGGAAACTATGATTATTGATACTGATTTTGTTTAGTTTTTACTTACTTTTTAGGTATAAGAAATTGAATAAGCTTATTTAGGGAATATAGATTTTTTTCTTGGAAAAGCCTGAAACTCAAATGTTAATAGGTTGAAAGACTCACTGTTTTGTTTCCTTTTTTCCTTACATTACTGTGTAGAGTTTATAAAACAGAAAACTGATGCCATACATATCTTAGCACAATATACTGGAGTTTGTTTTCAATATTTTGAGTCTTTTTTAATGCTATAAAGTGGCAAATAAAAAATTTTTTTTGTAGAAAAAGTTTTAAAATGTAATCCCATGTAGTTGCTAGATGATGCTATAATTGAAGAAAACGTGACTTTGGAAAAAACTAAATTTAAAAAAGAATTTATCAAACTTGCTATGATTCTGTAGTCAAACCTTTGAAAGTACATACTAGGAGGAGAAAAACCTTAGGGTAGAGATGGAGAAATATATAATGAAATTTTAAAAATTCTGGGATTATAGTAAGGAATTTAATAGCTTCATTCATAATTGTTTCCTTGAAATTGACTTTATATAAGTCTTTTTCTTCTCTGGGATAAATGAGTGTCTCATTAAGGAAGCTAAAGCTTGTCTTTATGGACGTACTGCATAATCACAAAATTGCCCAATGGACATTAGTTGTAACATAAGTACCATTTCCATATCAGACTGAGATTTATGATGTTTAGCATATGCCTCAACCACATTAGGAAATTCTTTTTAAAAACTCACTAACAAATGACACATTTTTTTCCTTTAGAATGAAGACCTAGTTTGCTTCAAAGATATCAAGCCTGCAGCACCTCATCATTATCTTGTGGTGCCAAAGAAGCATTTTGAAAACTGCAAATATCTAAAGAAAGATCAAATAGAACTCAGTAAGTGGATGGTGATATTCTTCACGGTCATATCATCTTGAACGGGCATCAATGATGGCAGTGACAATTGAAATAGTTTAGCCAGGTATTGTGATAAAGGAGCACTGTGGCTTTTTAAACTTTCATTATGAAAAATTTCCAATATATGCAAAATTAAAGAAAATATTTAGTGTAATCTTCGTGTACTTATCATCCAACCGCAGCATTTATTAACTCGTGGCCAGGCTCGGTAGTTGTGGCACACGGGCCTCGCTGCTCTGTGGCACGGGGGATCTTCCCAGATCATGGATTGAACCTATTTCTCCTGCACTGGCAGGCAGACTCTTTACTGCTGAGCCATCAGGGGAGCCCCTTAAGTATTTACTATTATTTTTTTTAAGAGGGAGAAATGTGTTTATGCTTGCTTTTCTTTTTCTAATATTTCTTTTCTTCTTAAAAGCTTTTATAACTGTTGCAAATCAAATGTTACTAATTTTGCAGCAGCAGAGTAGATGTTTGGGATTTCATTACATAATACATAATACGGTTTTCATTGATCTTGTGTATATTTGAATATCTTCATAATAAACCTTTAAAAGTCCTTGCAATTAATTTTTTTTAGCCTTTAAAGTTGGGAAAATAATAAGCATATGGAGGAGCTTAGTAGTAGTGTCAAGCCCTGTGACTATAATTAACATTAATAGAACTTCACCTAAGTATAGAATACATATTTTGTTATGAGCACATGTTCACCAAGACATATTCTGGACAATAATTCTCAATACATTTTCAAATGATCAAAATCTTATATGTTGTCTGATGACAATGGAATTAAATTGAAGAAATAGTAAAATCTAGAATAGTACTGAATATTTTTAAATTAACACACTTTTAAGTAACTTCTAAATAGTTCAAAAAGGACAATATTTTGAATTGATTAGTAATAAAAATATATATCAAAGGGTTATAGAATGTAGCTAAAGTGCATAGAGTAAAATTTATAGCTTTAAGTGTTTATGTTAGAAAGGGAGGTATAAAACCAATGACCTGTTTTCAGTTTAGGACACTAGAAAGAGGCAAGCAAAATCAGATCAAAATGAGTATAAAGAAGGAAATAATAGAGTAGATACCAATGAAATAGGAAAGAGACAATTGGTTTTGCTTAATGTAGTTTGGATCTGATTTTAAGTGAATGTATAACATGATTGCATTGTCTTCTCAACGATCTATTTTTATCATTATAAAATGTTCCTTTTTAATCTCTGGAAATACTTCTTGTGTCTATTTTGTATGATACTGATTTAGATACTCCCAACTTTCTTACTGTTTGCCGTGGGTATATTTTTCTATCCTTGTGTTGTTGTTGTTGAGTCATTAAGTTGTATCCAACTCTTTTGAGACCCCACGGACTGTAGCCTGTCAGGCTTCTCTGTTCGTGGGATTTCCTGGGCAAGAATACTGGAGTGGGTTGCCATTTTCTTCTCTATGGGAGCTTTCTGACCCAAGGATGGAAGCTGTGTCCCTTGCATTGGCAGGCGGATTCTTTACCACTGAGCCGCCAGGGAAGCCCCTTCTATCCTTCACTTACAATAAATTGAATATGTATATTTAAAGACATGAAGATAGCAATGTTATTGCATCTGGCATTTTAAAAAAACAATGTAATATGGAAATCTCTGTCTTTTAATTGGAGCATTTAGTTCAGAAACATCTAATATAACTATTGACATAGTTGGATTTAGGTCCACCATCTTGCCATTTGTTTTCTATTTGTCCCACTTGCTTTTTGTTGCCCTGTTTCTTTCCTGCCTTTCTGTGGTTGATCAAACATACTTTTTTTTTCAAACATACTTTTAATATTCCACTTTAATTTATCTCCTGTCATTTTAGCTATTTTTCTTTGTATTTTTTTAAAGTAGTTGCTATAGAGAAATTAAAATACACATCCTGCAATTATAACAGCCTACTTAGAGTTAGCATTGTATCAGTTCAAAATATCAGAAACTTTGCAACACTTTGTTGTGTTATTGTTGTCATTTATATTTCATCTATATACTTTATAATGCCTTGTGACTGTTAAAATATAGTAGTCATGTGTCCTTTAAAGAAACTAAAAGAAAAAACAGCCTTTTATTTATTCAAATGTTTGGCATCTTGGGGGTATTTTTTTTTTCTCAAATTATACTTTCAAGAATGGTTTTATGTTGAAAGCAAAAGCAAGTTGAATAATCCCACAGGTCTCCATATTGAACCAGGAACTAGGCAACACTCTTCTGAATATTTTCAGTTTAATTTGTCATCCAATTAAAATCTCGGGACTAGAATTATGGTGCTGAAAGTCCTTCTCTGTCTTGTTATATGGAGTGTAGCATGCTTCTACCATCTCTCTCTTATTTTAAATTTTTTTCATTGAAGTATAGTTGATTTTCAATATTGTGTTAGTTTCAGGAATACAGCATAGCGATTCAGTTATACATGTATGTATATATATTCTTTTTCAAGTTCTTTTTCCTTACAGGTTATAACAGAATCCTGAGTATAGTTCCCTGTATTATACAGGAGGTCCCTGTTGGTTATCTGTTTTATGTATAGTAACCTTACCCCACCCCCTTGAGTCTTGGGAGTCTTTTGAAAGAAAACAAGATACAGTCTGGCTTGAGCTTTTTTTTTTTTTTTTTTTTTACAGAGTGGTACTGACCTTGTCATAGAAGCCTTCCCACTCAAGCCCGACTTAAGAGAAGCAAATTGATAGCAATAATTTTATAAGCCTCATTGTAACAACTATCGTCTGCAGATTCTCTCACTCCTTCCCTTTTTAAATGCTTGATTACACTGTTCAGAAACAGAAGGAATCTAAAGTTTGGCATTGTGCTCTGAAGATACTAGGTTGCCAAAAATGTTTTAATGGGGAAGCACATCCCATCTGAAGACCCTGAAACACTGAGACTAAGATGCTAAGGCAGATGAGAGCTTGGAAGCCAAAACAAAGCTTTAGGCACAGCTGGGCTAGTATAAAGGGGTGTCACATCCCTAATTTGAGTTCAAAGAGAAGCTCAAAGTTTTCTTGTCTTCTTAACTCAGACAGTTTTTGTGTAGAATCTTGGTTTCCTTATGATTAGAATTAGACCACGGTAGGATCAGATGTCCTAAATATCACTTGATAATATCCCTCAAGAGCTGTTTAGAGTCAGCTCACGTGTGATAGTTTGTGATAGGTTGAACCTTCATTCAAGTGTTGATCAGCAAACGTCTCAGTAACTTAGAGCTGTTGAAGAAGTCTTTAAATGTGTATCCATTTGATATGACTTTTTACTAGGATCTAAAAGTTCGGGTTAATAACTAGGTAATGAACTTAACATCTCCTATAGCATAATGTTGTTTCTTTGCTGTTTTACAGTTGAGAACATGGTAACTGCTGGAAAAGCCATTCTAGAAAGGAATAATTTCACTGACTTTGAAAATACAAGGTATGTATACTTCCAGATGGAAACCAATACATACAGTTGGTTTTTCTCGAATGTTATTTCCTCGGGAGAATGAAAGTACAGATGCAGAGTTCATGGTTTAAATGCAGTTTTCCTGAAAGTGAACATATTGTTTATTGATAAATTTAATAAAACTTGGTTTCACATCTCAACATCGTGTAATAATCACCAATTACAGTTTGGACAGACAAGTATATTCAAGCAGTGGGCAGGTAGAGTTGTTACTTAGTCTTCTTTGTTTAGTATGTGCATTCCTATAAAATTATGTATAAATTGAATTTCCTTACGGAAAAAAAATCTAACTTTTAGTATTCAAGAAACTTAAAGTGATGACAAAGCTTTTTTAGTGATGGTAAGGAAATGACCACGTTATTCAGGAGAAAGCATGCCATCTACTGGTCATGTCTTAGAACTAAGGACCCCCTACTTTAATCAGTGTCCAGTGACTCAGCAGTTTTTAGGAGAATTAAAGATATGATAAGAACTGAAGTAAGACATAATGCCAGCTCAGAAATCATGAGTTACATAGTGCCATAATATTCTGTGAAAGCTCTTCTTGATGAAGAATTTATCTTACTGTGAACTTCAACATGAGAAAGAGCTGGGTGAATACTCTGAAGTTCATGTAGAAAAACAGTGGAAGAGTTGTTTGAGTGGTAATCTGTCTACCTTAGGTAACCTGTTTTGGGCGTCTTTAATATTTATGTGTTTTAACCTGAAAATAGAGTTGTAAACCATGGTAGAACTAATCTGTCAGTTATCTCGTACTTTTGTGTTTCAGAATGGGTTTCCATGTGTCCCCCTTCTGTTCCATTTCCCACTTGCACCTTCATGTTCTGGCACCAGCTGATCAGCTGAGCTTCATGTCAAGATTGGTTTATAGAGTGAATTCCTATTGGTTTATCACAGTGAGTGTTAATGTTACGTTATGCTAGCAGCATACAAAAACATTTGTCCTTTTGGTTGTAGTTTTTCTTTTCTTGGCAACAGTAGACACTTACACCTGTTAGATTTGGTCATCTGTTTTAACATACTATTTGCACATATCCAAAATAATCCTTTTAATTTGGGGGACTTTCCAGGTCATCAAATCTGTAGGAAGAGGCACCGTGGTAGTCTCTGAATTGTAAGCAGAGGAGATGATATAGAAGTTCGTGGCATTAACAGTTCTGAATTCTGGCTCCATTAGTTATTCAGGTGACCATGTGCAAGTTACTTAAACTTTTTAAGGCCCAAGTTTTTTGTCTACTATTGACTTACGGGTAATCATGCTTGCCTCCAGGGTTCAGAAGAGGATTGATGATTTAATTAACATGGTACAGTGGTAAGGAGTCCGCCTGCCAATGCAGGAGGTGCAGGAGCCACAGGTTCAATCCCTGGGTCAGGAAGATCCCGTGGAGAAGGAAATGGCAAGACGCTCCAGTATTCTCGTCTGGAAAATTTGGTTGACAGAGGAGCTAGGTGGGCTATATATAGTCCATGGGATTGCAAAGAGTTGGACACCACTGAGCGACTGAGCACACACACACATGTGCACAAAGTGCTTAGAACTGTACCTTGCAGATTGTAAGGGCTCAGTAAAGGCAGCCTCTATCATCATTAGCCTCTTTGTAGAAACAGAGGCAAGTAGCATCAGCTACTAAACCTGAAGTTGAAGCTGTGAGTCTTGAAAATTGGAGAATTCTGCTTTGCTAGAGCAACAGTATGATAGAATTCTACTGATTATAAGCTTGTAATCTGACAGTCAAGCTTTGTTATTAAATGACTCTGTCTTTCCAGGGCCACTTGACTAGTAATTTACTGGTTTCTTATATGTCCATGATGATAAGGTGACCTGTAGCAGCTATATCTGAAAAACCATCAAATTACAAATTAGGTAATTACCTTTAGTTAATATATATTATTATTATAGTCATATTACAGGAGAAATGAAAAAACATTTGCTTTTTAGAAAATTCACATTTCAGACTTACTATCTCTTTCTTCAGCTTGTCCAGATTATTTCATTTAATTAAAAATATATTTAAGATGTACGTGCGTGCATGCTAAGTTGCTTTAGTCATGTCCGACTCTGTGTGACCCCATGGACTGTAACCTGCCAGTCTCCTCTGTCCATGGAATTTTCCAGGCAGGAATACTGGAGTGGATTGCCATGCCCTCCTCCAGTGGATCTTCCTGACCTAGTAATCCAACACCCGTCTGTTATATCTCCTACACTGGCAGATGAGTTCCTTACCACTAGTGCCACCTGGGAAGCCAAGATGTATGTGTACTTCAGATTAAAAAATGGGACATTTTGTAGGAAGCTGATGTGGTCTCTTTAAAAGATTGGTGTGATAAAAAAATAGGTATTTTTTTAAATCTGTATTTCTAATTTTCTATACTATGTTTTATAATAAAAATAATTTAAATACATTTTTTATAACTTCTAAACCGTATTCCTTATAAGATTTTTTAGTTGGGAAAAAAACGAATGAACAAAATTATGATATCTGTTAATGGCTCATCCTGGGAATCTGAACCCTTCTTAAATATATATATTAAGTATATATTATGAGACTTTGAAAAAATCAAAATAAAGATATTAACATTTATTCTGAAATCTTATATAGTATTCCAGATATATAAGATGATTGAGTAAAATATCTGAAATCATATAACTAAAAGACCTTAGTTTTAATTCTTTTTTAAATAGATTTTTTAAAAAGGATTTTAGGTTCACAGCAAAATTGAATGGAAAGTTCAGAGAGTTCCCATATATCCTGTGTCCCCACATACTCATAATCTCTCCCACTATCAGCATCCTACACCACAGTAATAAATTTGTTATAATCCGTGAAACTACATTGATACATCATTATCACTCAAAGTCCATAGTTTTTATTAGGGTTCATTCTTTGTGTCCTATATACTGTGGCTTTGGACAAATGTATCATGACATATATCCATATATGTATCCATATATCCATGTAGTACCATTCAAATAGTTAAAGTGCCCTAAAAATCCTCTGTGCTCTGATCATTCATTTCTCCCTGCCGCTTAACCTCTGGTAACCACTGATTTTTTTTTTTTTAAGTCTCCAGTTTTGCCTTTTCCAGAACATCATATAGTTAGAATTGTATTGTAATTGTATAGCCTTTTCACTTCTTCCACTTAGTAAAATGTGTTTCAATTTCCTCCATATATAGTTTACTTCTTGATCTTTAAAAAAATAATTCTTACTGAGCTTTGGCTGTGCTGGGTCTTGGTTGCTGCACGGGCTTTTCCCTAGACGTGGCGGGTGGGAGCCACTCTCTTGCTCCTTGCGGTGGTTTCTCTTTGTGGAGCATAGGCTCCGGGGTGCATGGGCTTCAGCAGTTGTGGCACGTGGGCTTGGGAGTTGCAGCTCCTGGGCGCTGGAAAGCAGGCTCAGTGGTTGTGGTATATAGACTCAGTTGCTGTACAGCCTGTGGGATCCTCCCTGGCCAGGGATTGAACCCTTGTCCCCTGCACCCGCAGGCGGATCCCACTAGGAAAGCCCCCCTAGTTTACCTTATAAAACTTTAGTGTTATATATCTTTTTCTTTTTGAAACTTTCTGACAAATAGGCAATGTGGATACAAATCTGCCTATTTATATACAAAATATTAAATAAACACCTTTACTATAGTTTAAAAACAGTTGAGAGTTTTTTGTAAGATTTTTAGGAAAAGAATATGTAGCATCCAGCTCTTCTGTGTGGCTTATTATAATAGGAGTGCCAGTAAAATTATTTCATATAGGCTATGATAATTAGGATAAAGATATGTTATTTTTCTAATTACAGGCTGATTATTTGATTGAAAAACTAAGAACATGAAAATGTCAACAGTGGAAGATTTCCTAATCTTGGCTTAACATAGACTAATATTTTGGTCTCTTTGAAGTCTAATTACAATTGTAAGGATCACTGGGTTTTATGAGAAGCTATTACTGGGTAGCCTTAAATTGTTTCTTCATGTTTGTTTCCTGAAATGTGTGATATAGTCATATAAATTCTTTGTCATTGACTTTGTTTTAATGGTTCCTTGTCTAAGGTATAAGATACTATAGATAAAATCCCGGTAAAAGAAATTCTGTTAATCAAGAAGGGCTCTGTATTTTTTTAAGAAATTCAAATATTTTTATTTCTCAGTAAGTAGTCAGTTATAATAGTGATTTATTTATGAAGAATAAACTGGTATAAAAGTACTTTGTTGGAACCTTTGTTAAGGAGAGAAAGAAATTACTTATTGATTGTTCTGTAATTAATTTCAAAATAAAGAGTACCATACCACACAGTGATCTCTGATCTTGATGGAAAGAATGGTATATGTTGTCACTTACAGATTTCAGATGCTGGTTTTCACTTCCTGAAACCTAGCATCTTTGTAATAAATTGATACTGAAAGCTATATAGTATATATAAAATAATTTTTCTCTAACAGTGAATTTGCTACAACAAGTCAATTTGGCTATCCAAGAGAAATCATTTTAATAGAATTTTACCTGTAAGTATATAAATGGGGAAGAAACATTAAGTGGGTTTATTAAAATATTAAAAACTGGAGGAACCTGCTGCTTGATAGCTTGTTTACTATACCAAAGGAAAATTAGAAGTAAAAAGTGATTAGACCTGTCTTTTATCATGAACAAGCCCTGACTTGAAAGTAGAGATGGATAGGCTTGGATAAGAAAATTTACTTTAATAATAATGTTATTAATAAATCATTTCATGAGACATATTTCTTTAAGAATTGTCTTTTGGTGCTAATCTACACTAATAGCAGTGAATGTGAATGAAAAATAAGCACTGAAAGCTAATCTTACGTTGTGCCAGTGTATAATTGTACCATGTACATGAATATAAATGAACATAAGGTTTAAAGTATATTAAAGTATTGATCTTAGAAATAATCTGAGAAGACTAGTTTTTTTTTTTCCTCCCTTTTTGGGGGGCATTATATTAAACATAGTTTTAAGTAATGAAATACTTACTACAGTTACAATGTTTAGTTACACTCTCTAGAATCAATGTTGTCTAGTTCATTTATTCATTCAATAAACATTTGCTGAGCATTTAACTTGTATCCAGGATCAGGAAATAAAGAAGTGAGAAAGGACCATCTGCCTTTAACTGCTAATACAAGGATCAGACAAAACCAGTGAGTACAAGTGTGTGTGTTAAGTATCAAAATGTCCATAGCAGAGTCTGTGAAGAGGGGAGCTGGAGACGGGCAGCAGCAGAGCTGAGCGCTTGTGGCTCAGTGTTAGGCAGGTAGAGAGCGGAAGTGAAGGCCCAGAGACCAACGTGTACTTCCCTTGGGTTTTGCCTCCGTTATTACTGACTTTACAGTGGAATATCCAGATTTCATTGTGTTCACTGGAGGTGGAGAGAGGGGTTATGGGCTCTCAAAATCATATTTACAAGTTTTTCAGCACTACTATATTAAGTAGCTTGCTGAGCACCTGCACAGATTCGCAGTTACATGTTCCTGTAAATCAGTTCAGCCGTGAGCAGCTTCTTCAGGAGAGGAGTTTTCAACATGTGCAATGTGTTGTACTGTGTGACCTTGTAGTGACATAATGGACAGTATTATGATAATAACATGTAAGGTATCTAAGGAGTTCTCAGAATTCTCAGACGCCATATGGCTTCTTAAAAAATACTGATTAGCCATTTGATTTAATTTATATGGGATTATACCTTCTCATAGTAAGCTTTTCTCCTTTTCTGGAAAACCCCTGGAGCCTTAAATTTTTAGTGGCACTTTTCCTGTCAAGATTAATAATCAAATTATGACAATTGAAATTCACTCAGCTTTTGCTGTAGTTTAATTATTATGTTTATTTAAGAATATAGTTTAATTATGTTTATTTATTTAATTATTAATATTTGGTAACTCTAGC